TTTTAGTTATTTACCAATGTGTTTTTCTGTATTATTTGCCTTTTTTAGTCATCCACTGTACAGCACTTTGGTCAGTTTATACTGTGTTTAAATGTGCTTTATAAATTAAATTTACTTACTTACTTACTTACTAACTTCCAAACATAAAACGCAGAAGAACAAGCAAATTAAAAGCAAAACTATAACCCCTATTGTATGAAGTGCCCAAAGGAATTGAAACACGGTGTTCAAACCAATTTATGCCACAAGATGTTCAAACGGATTCCACAGCAAAATGAAAAAGAAAAAGGGCTTAGTGGGTAGAGCTGGCGGCCCATGTACCGAGGCTGAGTCCTTGCTGCAGTGGCCCAGGGTTCGAGTCCGACCTGCGGTCCTTTGCTGCGTGTCATCCCCCCTCTTTCTCTGCCCCCCTTTCCTGTCAATCTTGAAAAAGGCCCAAAAAAATAACTTAGACATTGTTGTCATGGTAATGTTAACTGCTGGAAAGACCATGTGTGCTGGTTCAGTAAAACTAATGTAAATATAGGTGATTAAATGTTATTTTGTTATCATCAATTGTTCCAGACCTTGAGTAAAAATCAGATGCAGACCTTTAAGTAATAAGTTTGAGAACCCCTAGTCTACAGCCTTTCTAGGCCAGGATGATTTGATATGAGTTACTCTGCATTGATGTCATGTCTGATGAAAGCTAGAGAGATAGAAAGGATTATAATATTATATATTACATATACATTTTTGAATAGAAACATGCATATTCATAGATTCAAATCAGAATATTTTATGTAATAAAACTGTCTGAAGGGGATCTGAAATAGTTTTTACTATCCCTGAGTAACAGATGTTCGCTGACTTGAGGCAACCATGTTTGTTAGCACATACTGATTTTCAGAAAACTCCCAGTTGTAGTTACAACTTAGATGCTAACGTTGTTTGAAGCTGGTAATTACAGTAATTATCATCACTATTTTGTTGCTGCTGTTTACATTGCCCCAGATGCAAATTTAAAAGGATTATTTCCAGGATTATACATACACACACATATGAGTGGAGTGTCGATGCTATGAACAGGTAAATGGATTACTAAACTGTAGACCCAGCAGTCTGAGCTGTCCAATATGAGAGCAGACGTTTGTTGTAAATAAGGGTATTCATAAAATTGGTAAATGGACTTGTACTTGTATAGCGCCCTTCTAGTCTTCCACCACTTCAAAGCGCTTTTACACTACGCTGCCACCATTCCACCCTTCCACAACGAACATTCACTCAGTGATGGCAAAGGCCCACTCGAACAGAAACTAACTCATTCATACACAATTTGGAGCAATTTGGCGGGTTCAGGTATCTTGCTCAAGTGGATACTTCGACATGTGGCACCAGGAGCCTGGTATCGAACTGCAAACCTCTTAATCATGTGTAATGTGTTCCTCAGCCTTGTGTATGGGAGCTCCAGGTCATCCCACCCAGACTCAGAGCTGCTCCACCGGCAAGCCTATGGTACCCCTCACCCCCTCCAGGGCTATGCAACCAACCACCACCCAGGAAGTTCCAGACAGGGTGGGGCCTGGGGTGCTGCGGGACGCACGCTGGGTAAGGTTTCATTGGATGTTATATGTGGAGAAATACATGTAGTGTATTTTCATTATCTGTAGGTGAGAGTGAGTTGTTGCCTGCTTCTTGACCAGAGTCAATCCCTTATGACCTATCAAAAGGTTAAGTGGGTAAAGATAATTGATGCATTATATACCTGTCTGTCTAGCTAACTCCCTGCCTAACTGCACACACTCTGCAGATTTTTTTTGGTTAAAGTGCAGTGGTCACAGGTTGAAAGTCCCAAACCTTTAATGAATTCTGGTTGTCTTCACAGTTATCTTTACTTCTCACTACTGTTACATAAGCCCTCTGCTCACAATATTATCAGGCTTTTTTCCAATCAAAAAAAGTATGTTTCCAATGAGTTGGTTAATTCACTGAGTGAGTGAGCAAGCATGGAAAATGTGAAAAAACTATGAAAAAATAACAACTACT